ATCTCCCTCTCCTCTTCGACTGTGTATGGAAGGACAGGCGTGTTCCTCCTGTGTAAGCGCCTGGCCCCTCCAGTCCATGGAACGATGATGATGCATGTCGGGCTGCATTGCAATGATGATCCTTCGGATCATTGCTACCTAAGTCTCCCACTACGCCACCCTGCATTTCGTAGGTTCTAGTCTGCACCTTTACAGTATCCACGGTATCCGTGTGTGTGTGTGAGAGAGAGAGGGAGACGATAAGTCTTCGACCTTGGCCAACAGCCAAGTCTCCTACCTACGGCTCATCGCACGCTATGCGGATCGAGAGAATGAGCAAATCAAAAGGTGGCAGTGTATATTTCCACGTTTCAGCAGAAGATTCATCCCCTTTTTTTTTTGCTCATCCTATCGATGGAATGTGAGCGTGCGTGCGTGTGTGTGCGTGTGCGCATGCGTGAATGAGTGTAAGTAAGAGAAGAGAGAGAGAGAGAGAGAGAGTTTTTCTTCTTTCTCTTCTAAGTCCACCATCTCTTCTCCTTCACCCTCTCGCTACCTGACTTCACTGCGTCTGCAGGCTACGAGAAGGAGAGAGATTGGTGACTTTGGAGCTTGACGACATTGGATTCAGGCTCGACGTTGGGATTCAGACATTTGACGAGGGATTATTTGGGACCATACCGAAGACTTGGTGTTGACGACATTCCCATTCTTTCCTCTTCTTCGTCTGATTCCCTGCCTTTCGTCTGTTCCCATCCTCTTCGTCTGTGTATGTCTGACCTGGCGCCGCCTTATTGAGTATAGCAACAGGCCTCTTCACACCGTAGAGGAATGATGATGTATGATTGGGGCTGCAACGCAATATGGATTGTCAGATCACTGGTATCGAAGTCTTCCGCTATGATATCTTGTACTTCGTATGAGAATTTGGTTCTTGTTCTGGCCTGCACCTTTACAGTATGCAGCAGGAGGGTGTGTGTGTGTGTGTGTATGAGAGAGAGAGAGAGAGAGTTGAGAGAAGAGATGATGATAATGATGATGATGGTGATGATGATGGATGATGATGATGATGCTGGCGAAGGATGATGATGAGGATGATGGCTGTCTCTTATACACATCTAGATGTGTATAAGAGACAGCCTTTACAGTATGCAGCAGGAGGGTGTGTGTGTGTGTGTGTATGAGAGAGAGAGAGAGAGAGTTGAGAGAAGAGATGATGATAATGATGATGATGGTGATGATGATGGATGATGATGATGATGCTGGCGAAGGATGATGATGAGGATGATGGTGTGTAGGCACATACCTTGTATTGGCAGCAGTCTGCATCTGGGAGACATCTTGAACTACTTCGGGTTGCCGCTGATGTCAACTTTTGCATGTCTGTTGTAGTCTGTAGTAGCCGTGTAGGAGTAGGCTAGGCGCTGAACGCCAAGGGTGGATGCGAGGGAACTGGACTCTTGTGTTGAGGGGAGAGAGTGCACTCCCCATGGGTATCAGGTTCCGATGCTACAAACGTCCCTTAGTATATTATTGGTACGATGAACATAGAGTAGCTATCTGGCTTTTGACGTGATAGTGTGACCTGGAAATGTCATCTCGTTGTTGCTTACTTTCCCTACAGTATTATTATTATTATTTTTAATATTATGGTTATTATTATTATTATTATTATTATGCGTTTTCCTGGGGTCCACGTGGTGACTATGCAGGGGATCGCGGTTGTGAGCGGAGCACGAGGCATACCTGATGATTGACGCGTACAATAGTGGTTGCCACGTGCTAGTACTTCGAACTGCCACTGAGGGCAAACTGTGGCATTGTCATTTCATAGGTCGGCAGTAGCTGTGCAGGGAGGTAGGGCCTGGATGCTCATGTTGGTGGTAACGAGAGCGAGCTCTCGTAGACATTGGGTTTCATAATTACGCTGTCTTCATTAGTAAGATTATTGGTGCAATGCTACTCTGTGAACACTACAATACTATGAGGCCTTCACTGGGATAGTGCAATCGGGAACTGACATCACACTGTTGATTATATCCTTGCACCACTATTATTGTTATTAATTAATATTATTATTATATTATCAGTATCAATATTGTTATTATTATTATTGTTACTATTAAATAGTAATTTGAGGGATGGATACAGTATTGACAGTTATGTACATTTGGTCTTCGAAAGAAGCCTGTGGTGTGAACACAACTGTGGATAGGAGTAAAGTCGGTTGTGCGCTAGACAGAGAGAGCGAATCTGGATATTGTGTTGGCGTGGCCTAAGGGCTTGGACATAGGCTCAATACTACATTGTATCGCTCTTTGTGGATGGTTTCCGGTGCAATTATGCTCTCCACTCGGGTTACTATTACTCGCTCAGATGAGTGATTTCATCACTTGGGTTTCTGTAGATGGCCCACGCTCGTATACCGCCTCTAAAACCACCATATCTCCATCACCCTCTCACTACCTGACCTCTCAGCAGCTACAGATTACGAGAGAGAGAGAGAGAGAAGAGGAAAAGTCGAGATGCACGTGGCATCTGTGAGTGGGGGATTGGGGTGGGGAGTGAAGAAGGACACGTACCTGGTGGAGGTGGAGGTCAGCATTGGTATTGACATCATCACACGCTAGTAGTCAAGTTGTCTGGTTGCTGTCATACTGTAGTTGTAGTGGTAGGTTGTAGAGTAGATAGGGCCCCTGGCGCCATTCGGAAGAGAGAGCTGCATTGGGTTATGCTGTTGATGTCGCCCTGTTGGGCTTGGACATTGACTCATGATTCTGCTGTATCATTCTCAAATGGATGGTTACCCGGTTCCGTTGTGCTAACTGCTCATGCTTTTATAATGAACCTAAGTCGTGACGATACTTGTTGATAATGGAAGTCTACAAATCGTCAACCAGCTGATGAGATATTAATAGTGAAATCGTTACCAGATACAAAGAGATGAATAACATACACGGACGAATAAGCAGGAGGTTGGGAAGATAGACTTAGAGGGTAGAGAAGAATACTGCGCCCGCTTCCTCTTCGGGCTTCCCTTCCACTGTCGCCACCTCAGCAACAATGATTGGAACGATATATGAAGTTCTCCTCAAAGTGTCACGTGGCACACCAATAGTCCATCATCAGCGCTGGAGCATCATCAACCTCAAGACAAACAGGTACGTATCTCTGATCCTTTCACAGTCGTGATCACCTCCTAAGTACGATGAATCATAACAACTATATCTCTCCAATGTAGCAGCCACGTCAGCATACCAAGTGGACAAGAGCAAGCCAGCCAGCATGTCTGGCCAACAGCGCGCCGCCGTATCTCACAAGTGCCGGCCAAAAGCCAGCGTCGTCGTGAAAGTAGAAAGTCAGCATTGACGCGACTGAATGAAAGTCAAATGTCGGAGAGTTAGTCCCTATGTATTATTGACCTGGGGTCTGAGCCCGGATGCTGCCTCCCTCAGTCGTCCAGATCTCGATGCAGACGAGGGCTCAGATTATACCGAAACTGAATCTTCTTTAGCCTCGGTGCTGTCTGGGTACCTGCACATCACAAGTGAGTGTATCTGGCCAAGGGCCTGTGCATGGTACCTTTGACTCTACAATGGACTTTGACATTTGAGTTTCCATCTGCAGAGTTCGGTGTCACAGCCGGACGCAGCAGTCTGGGTCTGGGCAGTGCCTAGTCACACATCCCAATGCAGAACAATGAGTTCTGCGTGGCCTGGGGCGGGTCTGGGCCCCATACAGACCTTCATGCACACGAATTATTGTACTTTGACAGCTTTGTCTTCAGTAGGACTTTGCAGATTGGATTTTCGTGCTTCGTTCACATTCATGTTCATTGCATATTTTTATTATTATTATTTTCGTTATTATTATTATTATTACTATTATTATTATTATTACCTACACAATAGGTGAAGCACATGCGGCATCCGTGAGTTGGGGGACGAGGGTGTGAAGGGAGAAAAGGACATACTTGGTAGAGAAGAGATAGGCGTTGATGTTGGCATCATCTACTCTCTGAACGCCGAGTTGTGTGGTTGTTTTCATACTGTAGTTGTAAGATAGGCTGTAGAATAGATAGGGCGCCTGACGCCATTCAGAAGAGAGAGCTACACTGGGTTATGCTGTTGGTGCTGCCCGATTGGGCCCGGACATTGACTCACTATTCTACTATTTTGTTCTCAGAAGGAAGATTACCCAGGTCCATTATGCTATTTGCTTTTGCTTTGTTTACATAGACTAAAGTGTAATTATGCAATAGATATTCCGTGCATCGTCCATATTGCAATCAGACTGGTCCCATTCACACTTTGCATGCGTGTAAACAGCGACACAGTGAACTAGCGACATGCGCCCACACAGTACTCAGTGATATCGCAACCAGATGAGAGCTCTCTTGCAATTGGCTATGGCGGCTGTATGCCCAAACAGCTCGCTGTTCTATGTTACCGCGCATTTATTGAACGCGGTTTTTCGTTCAGAAACTGAACGGAATGAACGCGCGTTCAGTGAACGTGACCGAACGCGGAGTTCAATTCCTCGCACGAAAAAAAAAAAAAAAAGAACAAAGTTCTCTAAACATTCCAAAAAAATATATGTTATGAAGAAAAATAAAATAAATAACTTTTACCTGAGAATCACATCCAAATTCGCTATCAAATTCGAAAAAAAAAATGCAGGTGCTGGGTGCTCCAGGGCATGAGCTGCTAGGTGCCTATCAATCAGGATCAAGGCTTCTCTCCTTCCAGCTGCCCTCTCTCTCCTCCTTTCTGCCAACCCTTCTGGCGAAGCAGCCTTTTCTGACGAAGGTAATGGGGTCTCCTCTCCCTGCAACTCCTCTCTTGCCTGGCGGGTGCTCCCTGGTACATCCCCGAGTCTCAGACCCACCGCTTGCCTTTGTGGGGGCGTGTCCTCTCCAACCTTTATTACTTCCTTCCCTGCACGTCTCCCCTCATTGCCCAACCCTCTCTCTCGCTGAGTACCCTGGACCTCCCTCCGTGGCACCTCCTCCTGTTGACCTCCTCTCGTGGCACCTCCTCTTGTGGCACCTCCTCTCGTGGCACCTCCTCTGCCTGCTCTCCATGCTCCTCACCCTAAGGCGACGCCCCCCACCGAGAGATATCCAAATGTGTTTCCAACTCCCTCAAGGGCCCCTCAGATGCTGGCGGTTCCTCCTGCGTGCGCGCTGGCGATCTCCTCAATCCACCCTCGGTAAACCGATGGAACTCCACKGGTCCCAACCCACACTCAGGGTACGCCCCTCGCTCCTCAGCCTCTGGCTCCAGCTCCGGTTCCTCTTCTCTCCTGGCTAGGGCTTTTCGTCCTCCTCGAGACGGTCTCGCCTCCCTGGGCTCAGGGTCCCTCTGCCTCTGACTCCTCTGACGCCTCTCAACTCTGGGCTGAGGGGGCTCTGGCCGTCGAAAGGCCTCTCTCAGATGTGCCCTGCAACTCTCCCAGTCCCGGGCCATGCTTTTGATTTGGCTAGCCAGTGGCCTTTCCGCCTTCCTTGTCCCGAGTGGTAGCGTCTGCATCCAATCATTTCTTGGTATACCCTGCCCCTGCATGAACCACTCAAACGCGGGGATGAAGTCCGACGCATTTCCAATCTCCAGGTGGATCGGCCTGCCATCAGGTCCCACAGGCGAGGGTCGCAACTCCTGCATCCTCCACTCCACCTCTGATCTCGTCGTCGCCTCTCTACGGATCCGTGCGACGGGCTCCTCGAATCTGTCGGCTCCCCTCAGTCTCTCGATTGCCTGGGCCACGGTCCAACCCATACGCCTCGCATAATCCCAAAAGCTGTCCAGGAATAGCTCGATGTCCCCATCATCGTATACCGGAGTACTCTCTCGATGACGAGGCCCATGTCGCTCATATCCTCTTGATGCTCCCAACGGCCTCCGAGGCGGCCGTGTCCCCCTCCCTCCTCTTGGCATGGTTGTCTTCGTAAAGTCAGACCTGCACAACAGGCGAAGGAGACAATAGGCACACATTGGGGTAAGCAAACAGGTGATAATTAAGCAAACTCAGACCAGACCACACTCATACAGCATGCATCCTACCCAACCTACACACTCTGCTACTTTTATTCTAAAGACAGTCAGGTCATCTCTCTTACCTCTTCTCTCGCCACAAATTTCTTCAGTCGCGTTCCAGATACCCAATCCTTCCACTCAGTCCCATTTAGCTCCTCAATTTAGTACGCCCCGAAGTCTCCGACCCGTACGATCCGGTAGGGAACTAACCACCTCTTATCGAGCTTCCTGGACCAYTGCTTCTCCAGTGATGAATCGTAGAGAAGCACGACATCTCCAACTGTCAAGGGTACTTTCCTCACCCGCGCAGACTGATCCCATCGAGCCTTATCATCCATACGGGTTCTCGCCAGCTGATCAGACGCCTCCTGGATCCTTTCTTCTATCGCCCCTATCTGCCGCGCCCGGATATCGAGCAACTCTTCAAATGACAGGTTAACTTCCAGATCCTGGCGCCTCCATGTCTTAAGAAAGCTCTCGATAGGGAAGGTGGCGTGCCTTCCATACCAAAGTGTCGCCGGTGCATACTTGGTGAATCTTTTTACTGTAATGTTATCGACAAAGAAAGCCGCCCTTAGGTATCTCGGCCATTGATTAGGCCTACCTTCGGTCCACTTAGCCAGGAGACTCGTAATGGTACTATGCCCTCTCTCCACGAGAGGATTTGCCTGGGGGTGCGCGGCCGTGGTGTAGTTGGCTGCTACACCATACCTTGATAATAATTCTTGCACCTCCTGGCAGGTAAACTTCGATCCCCTGTCCATTACGAACTCCCTGACGAAAGGATAGAGCAGATAGTACTCTTCGATCCAGCTCACCAGGACTAACCCGATTTTTGTGCGAATAGCACGCCCGTCTACGAACCCAGACAGGTTAACGCGCGCATCGAAGATATAGTTATAGCCTTGATCCCCAAGCGGCATAAAAAGTAGATCGAGATGCACTACAACCCCCACCTCTCGCTCTAGCCTTGGATGCAGCGACTCTCCTTGCCTTAAACGAGATCTCTCCTGGCAGGGTATACAGGATCGGCAGAACTTCCCGACCATGTCCATCATCCCATCCTAGTAGTACAGCTCACTTATCTTGGCATACGTGGCTTGCACCCCTCGATGCCCTCCTGCAATGCCATCGTGAAGCGCTGCTACGACGTCGATCTGACGATTCCTACCGCAGACGACTCTCCTGGGATTCCCCACTTCTCTTCTCACGAAAAGGTGGTCGTCTCTCACTAAGTAGCGCTGCAGCATCCTCTGAGCTCTATCGCTTGCATCCCTAAGCCGCATTTCACATGATAGAAGAAGCTCCAGCTCTAGGTAGATCCCGTCATACTTCTCTGCACGAAAAGCCTCCTTAATCTCCCCCTCCTCGAACTCGTCGTCTTGACTCTCGGGCATTTCGTCCATATTCCCTTCCGGGTTCAACGGGCCTGATTGGTCGAGGCTTTCCTGCAATAACGTGTTGACGAGGAGATACATTCCCCCCATCAGGTCCTCATGCCGTTCTACCTGGCCAGGTCCTTCCTCAATCGTCCTCATGTCCTCCACCAGGCTATGCGAGCTGGTCAGCGCTAACTCCATCATCCATTGAATATCTCTACCACCCCCGGGATCCTCTTCTTCAAAGAGTTTGAGGACTAACTCGGCCCTCCTTTCATACCCATTCGGCGCTTGCCAGATAGTATAGCCTACACAGCTGGGTACTCGCGACGACCACTTGTTGATATGAAGAGGGACATCTTCTTCCTGGTCCAGAAATCCATCAACTGGGGGCGTATTCTCCACCGCCTCCCCTTCCTGTTTATCCCAGTTGATCCGACTCAGCCCGTCCGCCCGGTTCTTACTGCCTGGAATCCGCTCCAATTCGAAGTTAAACATCCAGATGTACGTCAGCCACCTGGCAACCGTTGGATCTGATGGAACGTAATTTCTTAGAGAGTAGGCCAGGGCGGTCGGATCYACTCTCAAAATAAACCTCCTGCCGAAGATGTAGTTCCGGAAGATCCGCAGACAGTGGAGGACGGCAAGGGTCTCCCTATTGAACTGAGAGTAATTCCTCTCGGTCGTACAGAGGGTCCGGCTCTCAAATCGCAGGGGTCTTTCCTTTCCCTCCATGTCCGCCTGAATTAGAACTCCCCCTAAGGCAGTCGGCCCCGCATCTGTTTCAACAATGAAGGGTCGTGTTTCCGTAGCATAATAATCTGGTGCTCCTAGCACCAACCCTCCTCGAAATTCCTCCTTCATCCTAGCCACCACCTCTTCTTGTTCCTTACCCCATACCCATTCCTGGTCCTTGCGAACTAACTTCCTCAGATGTTCAGTCTTAGCGGTAAAGTTCTTGACGAAGGCCCTCCAAAATCCACACGTACCAAGCAAGCTCCTGACATCAGTTATTGAGTGGAACGGAACCGGCCACTCAGTAATCTTGTCCGTCTTCTTCACATTCGGCCTTCGGCCCTTCTTGCTGCAGACGAACCCCAAAATAGTCGCTTCCCTCATGCAGTGTCTGGATTTGGCCCCGCTTGCCGTGAGGTTATGTTCCTCGAGCAGGCTCAGGACTTTTTCGAGGTCCTGGATATGCTTCCAGACAAAGCGCCTCACCCCCGGCGAGACTTCGTCGCTTTCCTTCACTGCCGGCCCCTTCACTGCCAAATCATCGATGTATGGTTGTCTGATATGGGAGCTGACTGACTGCATAGCTCGAATCATGGCCCGTTGGACCATTGCTACCGCATTGGTCCACCCTTGCGAGGCCACGTTCATGTGGATTAGCCCTCGTGGCGTGTGCATAGCCGTCACATGCCTGTCCGACGGGTAGACTGGGAACTGATCATATCCTGAGTACAGGTCTATAGGTGAGATTATAGGCCTTCCAGCACAGGATTCTGACAGCGCGTGTGCATTGGGCAATCCTCTAGCATCCCGCACGGTCACCGCATTCAGTCTTTGCAAATCTTGCACCCACCGCAGCGTCCCGTTAGGCGTGATAAAGCAGAACCACGAGGACACATACGGTCCACTCGAATAGTCGGCGACTTGTGTACGTATTTTGCCATCGAGGTAATCCACCACCTTCTTTTCCTCGTCAGGATTAGGATATCGCGCCCCTCGCATGTTCCAAGGCTCGTGTGGCACGGTATGGATGCGGATCATAGGTATTTTGTCCACATCCAGCCTGCCACGCTCCCCGTCATTAAACGCATAGGCGCGATGCCTCCTCTTCATTAGTTCCACCATCAACGTTCGCTCCTGAGGCAGCAGGAAGTCGGGCTCGCCTATAATCAATTCCTCCTCGTTCCCTTCGTTGATACGACATGGCCCTGCTAAAGCACTTTCCCTCATTCGCCGTATCAACCCTCGTTCCCTCTCGTAATATGCTTCCTCGTCTTCTGTAACGAGGACGGGAACTGGGCGGCACTTCTTGTCTACCGTCTTGTACCGCCTTTAGGAACCCTGCTTGAGCCGTCCCCTAAAAAAGGCCGACTCACAGATTGTGTTTGCGCTGATGCGGGGTGCCCTCCGCTGCCTGGGAGCCGATATACCAACTTCAACCTTCCCGCCTCGGGGCATTCCAGAACTTACTCCCTCAAGGCCTGGATGGCATCCGGGTCTGCCATCTCATGCACGGCCACCAGGTTCATGGCCTTCCCAACATCTGACAGGCTGAGGGAAAATGCTTCCACCCTCTCTCCTGCTTCGGGCTCTGCCCGAAACCTCCGGCACTCCCCTTCCGACTCCTCGATCGTGAATGATCCTGGATTGGGCCAGTTCCTTATACTCCTTGGCCCGGTGTTCTTGCAGGTAATTAGTTCATAATTCCCGCAGGCAGGATTACATAAGAGAAGAATTAGAGTCCCGTCATGTTTGTTGAACATCACGGTCTCCGTCCTGCTTAGGAATGACCTCCCCAGGAGGATTCCATGGTCACGTCCGACATTATGAAGAAGCATGCCCTGGCGTTCACCTTTCCAACCTCGATGAGGACATTCGAGGTTGTCCCGCAAAACACGGCCTTACAGCTGGCTCCATGCAGAATACTGCAGTCGGAACGGGCGAAAATCCAGCCCGAATCTGATCGCGTCCGCATCCCGAATAATGTTCATCTCCGCCCCGGTGTCCACCATTGCTGCACACTTGGAACCCTTCACCACCAAATCCACCGTGCCGCAGGCTACGCACTTCCAGTCCATCTTCGTACCTGACTCCGCCCACTCTGCCTCCTTGGGCAGGATCGTACCCAGATAGACATTGGGCACCAGGCGCCGCGACAATCTCCCCTTCAGTTCACCGCGGAGTCGCGGGGCTGATGCTAGGATTTCCTTCAGGGTCATGAGGTCATTATGCCCTTCCAGCAGCCTGTCAATTACTCTCTCTACGTCAAATCCCTCTTCCAATCGAACTGCGTATTTCTTCCTTTTTGGTGGTCCGTCACGTATGACCGGTTCGGCCTCTCCCCTGGTTCCCTTTTTCCTTGCCCGCTGCTCCGCTCTCTGATCCTCCTCTCTGCGCAACTTCTCGTCCTCTTCCTCTTCATCATCGTCGTCCTCTACTTCCACAGCCTCTTTCCTTCACCCTGGTTCGGGTTCCCTCCTCGGAGGCTCTTGCCCAGCGCTGGCCTTGGCTTGATTCCTCGTTCGTGCTGCCTGTGCCAGCCAGGCCTGCGGAGTGAGGGGTCTCCCCATCATTCCCGATTGTGGGCACGACCCCACCACATTTACTCCGGGTCGTCCAGGCGCTGACTCCGGGCCGGAGTCATAGAGGAACACCTTGGGGATGTTAGATCTCCATTTCTTCACTTTCTCACAGAGGTCCACCAACTTCTGTTGGTACCTCCCCATCTTATCCAACAGGTCCTCCATCTTCCCAAATAAGATGGACGGAGGCTCCATCTTTTCCTCCTCATTCTCGTTATCTGACTCAGTGATTATGGGCTCTTCCTTCTTACTCCCTCCTTGTAGCCCTTGAGCCACTTCCTCATCGCTCCCTACTTCCTCCATCCCAATCGGTGGTTCCTCCTTTTCCTGCCATAGCCTGAACATGGCAGGGGGTGGCGGCCTAGTTGCCGCTCTTCGTTGGGCTTCAGCCCTCACTCCTCCAAGCCTTCTGTCAATGGCCTTCCCAAACTGATCGTAGATGTTCCTATCCATAGTGGAGGAAATCAGCCCGCTCCTCTCGTCTTCCCGTTTTATATTACAGAACCTTATAGTGTGACCTTACTGGTCACAATGTTGGCAGATGGCCGTCCTCCAGTCAAAACGGGGTCTTTCATACCCCTGACTTCCCTGGTCCCCCTGGCCTTGATACCCCTGGCCTTGGTACCCCTGGCCTTGATTCCCTTGGCCTTGGTACCCCTGGCCTTGACTCCCTTGGCCTTGGTACCCCTGGCCTTGACCATTCCTTTGCCTTCCTCTTCCGCCGCCATTCCTGCCTCGCCCCCTTCCTCCACCCCTCTCTCCGTTGCCTTGATTGCCCTGCCCCTGGTTCCCACCTCCTACCACACTGCCCTGTGAACTGGGAGTAGGCGACGATGGCCGAGCCACAGGCTGGGCCTGGGCTGCGGGGTAGATGGGTGGTGGCATACTTGTTTGCGGTCCGGCTACTGGCGGCGGGCTTCCCCATGGCACAATTGCATTGATCACCGGCCAGGGCCACTGTCCGTAGGAGGGCGCCCCACCTTGCGAGGGGCCCATACTAGATGATGAAGCCGCCACATTTAAAGGGGCTGCTGCCTGGGCCTGAGGCGCCTGCGCTTTTCCTGATCCCTGTCCGCCCTGCGCCAAGTTACGCACTTTGCGTTGGGCCTTTGTCAGGTGTTGTGGCACCGGCTCTTCCTCTTCCCAGAGTTCTTCCTCAACGGCCTCTTCTATCACCGGCTCCTTTCCTTTCATTTTGACAGCCGTCTCTACCCTCCTTTGCTCCACCGGCTCTGTCGCATACCCCAGCTGTGCCAATACGTCTGTAACAATCCTTGTTACCCCCGGGGTCCCAGAAGCGGTCCCAGAAGCGGTCGCATCTCTTTCCTTTCTCTTCTGCCTTTGTAGGCGTACCTGACGTTGCTCCACCTGGTCCAAACACCCAACTTCCACCCCTCTGTCAATGGTGGCCCAGGTGAGCTTGGTGTTACCTCCTCCATGTCTCGTCAACTCGACGGCCTCCGATGCCGTGAGTAGCCCCAGGAAGATGGCGCACTGTGCTTCCTCCGAAATCCCATGGACCTTTCGCGCCCTCTTCTTAAATTCTTGAACAAAGGCCCCTATCGTCGTAAAATCCTCTTTGTTCATCGCCTCAAGGTCCGCAGTAGTCAATAGCCCGTCTTCCAGGCGGTATTTCCTCTGCATCCCCTCCTTGAACCTCTCCGAGCTACCTTGGGCCGCATCTATGACTTTCTTCACTTCCTGGTGGTAGCTGTGGAGGACATACTGAAGAATGCGTTGAAATTTTTCCACGTCCGACCGCCCGACCAAAGCTTGTTCCACTCGTTCCAGCCATTCCAAGACTTTTTCCCCACAAAAATGGAAGGTATCGACCTTGGGGATATTGCTCGGATTTCTTTCATGCCTGTCAATAGCCGCTATGAGGTCATCGAGCGTCAGGCCCTTCTTGGGGGCTCCCGATGCGCCGCCGCCCTGCGACATCTTGCCAGACCTTTCTCTTCAAGCTCCCTGACAAGAGAAAAACAAGCATATCCCCTTATTCAGCATTACACCTTGACCGGTCTATTCCATCCGTCCTTCCTAACTCTTACTACGTACCTTTACCCAATGTTACACGTCCGTCCTTCATACCTTCCCTTACTCAGGTAGGTAACTTTCCTCACCTATACTTAGTCATTCATTATTTCTCCTCACTTTCTCGTCCTTCCTTTATGCCTTTTCTTATTCACTTCTCATACCCGGATGTCGTTCCACCAGGGACAACGGTAGGTTTTCCGTTATCCCCGGCAACGGCGCCACCTCTCTTCCTGCATCGGTCCGTCACCACACCAGGGCAGCGTGGGACCCTCCCGGCCACGTCACGCAGGAGTTGTTTAAATCCTTCGTCACAAATCATACATGTGGAGCTTCCTTAAGCGGCTCAGGCCGAATGCGCCAGCCATACCTCTCGCAAGCCCCTACAACAGGATAGGGCCTACGCGAGGCACGACTTACCTACACCTTACAGGAGCTGTCACCTCCCTTCGGTGGGCGTATCCCCGCCGAGCTACCAGTCCACAGTACGAAAGTTAACCAGTTGCAATCGCAGAGGTGGATCAGCCGAGGGCGTTTCTCGTTCGCTGTAGCATAGGGGGTACGCACGGTAATACGCCTCTATCGGACCCGCACGCGAACCGGCATCATGGGGGGCTGAAGTCTCAAGCGCGGCTCGTCGTCGGTCGACTAAGACGCATTCCACACACCACGCGCACACCACTTTACGAACACAAAAAAAATAAAACCCACACACACACATACGAAACAACACAACATAAACAACGCGACAACGCTCCTAGCCCCTCGGTAGCCGCCCCATAACTTTCTAATGCGAAATTCGGATAGGCGTTGCGCATGAGAGTTGACGGCTACCATCGCATATTGACTCGCAATGCAAATGTGTGCAAGCAGTCGCAATGAAGGCGTACTATGTGGTACCCATACTTGCGCGGTCCCCGTTAATCGCGACGGTCGCGTTCGACACTCAAGTGTCGCCTGACACGCGCCTTGAGGGTTAATCTCTCGACGCTGGACAACCGCCATGCGCGGTTGAAAACCACACCCTCTTCTGCACCCTGTGCAGAGGGGTTGAGTAGACAACTTTAAGATGTCGTGGCGGTCGAACATCAAGGGGTTTGACTTTGACGGCTACCACGGACTATAACGTCCAACTATAAAAAACTCCAAAGAGCAAAAGATAAGGGATAGGCCGAAGGCTCCCAACCTAGTAAACAATATCATAGTCCTGGGGTACCCTACCTTTTTCGCGCGTAATCACATAACTTTTTACACACTAGGGCGGTAAAACGTCGCGCGCGGGATTTTAATATAAAGCTGCGCAGCGGAGGGGCTACCTCATACCAACCCGCAATGCAGGCGTACGCATGCAGTCGCGACGATGGCGTACTATGTAGTGCCCATAATCAAGCGGTCCCTCGTGGATCCGAGTACCGCTTATGACACTCAAGTATCAGACTCGAAGTGTTGTGAGGGCCTAACCCTTCACGACATTGCACGGCTGAAGGAATAGCCATGCAGCCGCCGCGGCACCTCCGGCTTTCGGCCTGAGTGTCTCGGTAGGCAAATCAAATAGGCTTTGCGCGAGGGAAACCCCCCCCCCCTGCAGAGCCTAGAGCTTGAGGTATCATGGACAAGGACCTCGAATCCCGGCCCAGGACCAAACGTCCGACTAAGAAAATCATCAAAAAAAGCAAGAAACAAAAATAGAAGGAGAGGCTTCCCCTAAGCCCCTTACCCTCAGCTTCTGAGTATGATTTTTAGTATGGGGACTCTTCAACCCATGCAAACATTCATCCCAAGTATACCCATGTATACATATATAAGGGTTAAGTGTGTGACGATCACTTTTCACGGTCTCACTGGGGTCTCTAACAATAATACGTATATGTGTGACCGCAGGCAACCAAATCCAGAATCTGATTCACAACACATACCTGCAATCACATCAACGAACCAAATCAACAGCCCACACACTACACGGAGTCAACCCCAACCACCTTCGACACTCATACCACTCGCTTTAGCCATGCAAGCCCCAAACCTCATGTCCAACAAACCTTAATTAAATACTCAGCACCTTTGTTAAATGACCATTCAATAAAAGTCCGGGTGAAACCTTAATAAAACAACAAAATCATCAGGGCTAAAGCCTTTTAGGTTGAGTGTGGAGGGAGAGTTGAAATTGAGTCGTAGACCGACGAATCGGCAACCGACCTGTTATCTGTGATAACAGAAAGTGATCCTCAAGGGATCAAGTTGGGTCTAGCCCTGAACTTGAATCAAATGATCAAAACGACCTATAACACACGGCAGATCAATCCCCCAGCTAAGATCATAAGTGTATGGAGAATAGAACTCCATAATACATTCTCGCTCAAAATCTCCTTATAAGTTAAACCTAAGCCTACTCTTAAGTCAGTGCTTAGGCTTAGGGTAAACCAACTGCAGAATCTCCCTTATTTTGGATGGATCGCCTGAATCGTCACCTATCAAAATATAGTCTATCTCCTATAAACTAAGAAAATTTTGGCAGCGCTTCCCATAGGAAAAGTGTCTTTCCAGAATTTATATAAGCTCAAAAATGAACGCAGAAATAATCTCTAACTCTGAAAAGTCAAATTTTGTCCAACTCTCTGAATTAGTAGAAATTTGGGCAAAACTCCCTTTAGAAAGGGAGACTTCCCAGATTTATACTCAGTCAGATATAAAAGCAGAAATAATCTCTAACTCTGGAAAGTCAAATTTTGTCTAACTCTCTGAATTAGTAAAAATTTGGGCAGCATTCCCTTTAGAAAGGGAGACTTCCCAGATTTGTACTCAGTCAGATATGAACTCGAACAACAGTTCGAGCTCAACCTTAGACTGAATTTAACTAACTCTTTAATTTTGTAGAGATTTCGGCAGCACTCCCTGTAGAAAAGTGCTATTCCAAAATTTATACAAGGTTAAATTCAAATTTTGAAAGTAACTTTGGTTTCCCAAAGTTCAATTTTGTCTAACTCCCTGAATTAGCAAAAATTTGGGCAACATTCCCTTTAGAAAAGAAGACTTCCCAGATTTTAACTAAGCCAGATATATGGAAAAGACAAGTTGAACTCTTACAAGTTAAAAGTTGACTAACTTCTTGGATTTGTAGAAATTTCGGCAGCGCTTCCCGTAGGAAAAGAAGCTTGCTAAGATTTATACAAAGCCAAGAAAAAGAAAAAATATCAGAAAATGCAGGAATTGACCTAAGTAAAAAAAATTATTACAGAAAATGCATGAATTGACCTAAGTAAAAAAAGTTATTACAGAAAATGCAGGAATCGACACTAACTCCTATGACTCTACCACGTTGCGAGCAACTAGAGCAACTACCTATAAAACTGAAACCCAAACAAACTAGTCATCTCATCCAGTCACATGCAAACCAAACCACGAATGTAAATACTCTCACCATCCTAAATTCATTCCATACAGATAGTTCATGAATCTTCAAGTTCTTGCATCCTTATACCCATCTTACATAAGGCGTAGAGCTGGACCATTCGCCATGGAAACAATGCCCAGCTTGTCTTTATGATATACACGAACAGGTTGCACAACTACTTCTCTCTTCTTTTGGGCAGATGACTAGGTCATTCGCCATGGAAATAATGCCTAGTCAACCTGAGCACTTTAATATCCAAAGATTAGTATTTCTCTTACTTTTTTTTCAAAAGAAAATGTAAATATGGGCAGGGGACTGAACCATTCACAGTAGAAACAATGTTCAGTTTGCCCAAACTATTTCCGTTTATACTTTGTATTTTCCCTTTTCTCTTCTTAATGCTATGGCTTAACGCTGGACCATTCACAGTAGAAACAATGCCCAGCTGCCAGTTCACATGCAAATATACATAAATTACTTTCCTTTATACTCAGTTTAATTTATGTGCGTGGTTTTCAGGCTAAACCATTCACCAGTGAAACAGTGCTTAGCCTTAGACCAAAAATCCCCCTCAGCATAAACAAGAAAATTAAACCCTTTCAATCAGGCAAAACCTCAGAGTTAACTAGAGTAAACAGGCCATTCACAGTAGAAACAATGTCTGGTCCTCCAGAAAACAACTAAATAAACATAGCAACCAGGTCATTCACAGTAGAAACAATGCCTGGTCCTTCAGAAAACAGTCAAATAAAACACAGTCTTGAGTCATTCACAGTAGAAACAATGCTCACGCTTTGGTTGACCCTTCCAAACGCATGCAAAACTGTCTTCCTCCCACCTTCCCCCAGTTTATCCCTTTGTCTGCTTTCAGTCAGAATAAAGAAGGAACTTGAACTTCACTCTCACACATTCTTTCCCTTTAGTCTGATTATATCTTGAAGAGAAAGCAAAAACCATAGGGACAACACATGCATACATCAATCATACTATAGGGAGATAGGCAAACATGAGTAGTAGTGGGTTATACAGATAAAGATGATTTACCTGAAGGTTCCCTGCCTCCAGAACCTCGCCTAGGTTCTGGCAGAGCTCCTGCAATCGGTGGGTGGACTCCCCACAGAGTCTTGACGCGGACCTACGGGTTGCAATCTCGCCTGCCGCCTTCCCCTCATAACCAGCAGACTAGATTTAGACTCAGAAAGATAGAAAGAGAAAAGTGTAAGACTCTCAGATCCAAGAATGGTGCTCTCAGACTCGCAAGAGAGGGCCTTGTAATCTTGGATCGCATGAGGGCCCCGCAATGGCAGCCAATGTACCAGCTTGGTCAGATCCAAAGTCAGATCACTAAACACAATCCCCCCCCCCTGACAGCTCCTTAGAATTGCAGCAACAGCTTCCCCTTCTTATCCAATCTGATCATCCTTCCAAGTCTCGCCCGAACGAGGCCGCTCACCGGCGTATAATGGTCCTTAGACGCAACAGCAGCGCCCAGCAGCAAGCGTAGTGGCACTCACGGCAGTCCGCAGCAGTTCAACAGTACCGTGCTGTCAACAGTAGTAATCGCCGGTAGCAGCCACCGATCAATAGCAACAGCGATCAATGGTAGGCTGCGGCTTGTGTGCAGCCAACAGGA